GTTTATAAAATTATCAAATAATTGTATATATCACAATGACTTAAAAATTAAACTACAATGTTTAATAAAACTAATATGTTAACTATATGCTTGCTTTACTACTAACATTTTGTTTCAAAGTAAAAATATTAAATAATAATTTGGTAAAAGTGATTATTTTAATTATATAATTCTATTCTCACGCAATGCGGAGGGACTTGCCTAGTATATATATATATATATATATATATATATATATATATATATATATATATATATATATATATATATATTAGTTTATAACCCGTGAAACCACGACTACAAAATTAATTAAACTTTAATAGTTAGAACACAAAATTATTAATCAATTATAATCGTTAGTTTAAATAAATATGTGAAATTATATCACCTTATAATTTGTATTAATTTTATTTTAATTTTTATTATATTGTTATTAATTTATTGTAATTAAAGTGAAAATTTTAAATTTTGAAATAGAGAATTAATATGTTGATAAGTGACATGCATTAATTAATAGGTTTAATAGGGTGATACATGGCAAAAAAAAGAATAAAATGTGTATTAATTAAGACTATTCTTTTACTAGTTTATAACCCGTGAAAACCACAGTTATAAAATTAATTAAATTTTCATATAAAAAGTCAAAATTATTAATTAACTATTTTTAATAAATTATTATTTAAGAGATATTTTTTAGTTATATAAAATTATAATCGTTGATTTAAATAAATACATGAAGTTATATCTTATTTTTCAATCTAATGTTATTAATTTAATATAATTAGAATGGAAAATTTTAAAATTTGAAATTTAAATAAAAAAATCAATTGTTAGTTTAATGTAATTAGAGTGAAAAAATTTTAAATTTGAAATTTGAAATGAATAATTAATAGATTGACAAGTGGCATAATAAGGGATATATAGCATTAATGAGGTGTTTTAATTGTATGACACTTGTTAATAAGAGATTAAACCTATTCTTTTATTAGAATGAGGATATATATATATATATATATATATATATATATATATATATATATATATATATATATATATAGAGAGAGAGAGAGAGAGAGAGAGAGAGAGGTTGAAATGTTTTAATTAGATTTTAGAAATAATTAAACAATTAATAAAATATGAAAGGGGCATAATAGTAATCTTAGTTATATTTAATTATGGTAAATAGTTAAAACAGTTAATATCATTTAAATGGGAGAAATTAGTTTATAAACCCTAAAAAAAACCTTTGTCGTCATCATCCTCTTTGGAACATACTTTGTTCGTTTTTTTTTTTTTTTTTTTTTTTTTTTTTTTTTTTTTTTTTTTTGTAGTTGTATCTACTCATTCATCTTCTCTGTTCAGTGCCATAACGAAAATGCTCAATTCCAATAGAAGATAGCTCTACCAAACCATTGTTTATCAATAAATATTACATATATTTTTTTGTTGGCAGGAGATAAGCTCTTAAAGATTCCATGACTTTTGGATTATTTTCAAGTAACTTTACTCCACATTTGATCTTAAAGACTTCACATTGTATGGCATAAATTCTTCACGTCAACACAATCATAAAACAATTTCTTTAATTTTTTTTGGGCTTTTAGTTTTTTTCTTATACAAAAAAAAATTGTATTTTTTGTTTTACTTTTGTTCCACAGCAACAAACAAGAAAAGAAAAATAGTTGTTTTTTTGTTCTTGTTCTTCACGTCAAGAACTATAAAAAAAATTCTTCAATTTTTTTAGACTTGTGTTTTGGTCGTTTCACCAAAAAAAAAAAATTAGTTGTGGTTCGTTTCACTTTTGTTCGGGAGGTACAAATAAGAAAAGAAAAAAAAAATATTCTGATTTGGTTCCACTATGTTGTTAGAGATTATATATTTTTCATTTTCGTGATCATTTTGAGCTAGTTTTGTTGCGGATTTGTTCCCTGGTAAATTGAAATGAGTTTAATACCATTGGAGTATTTATTTTCTATTTTTCTTTTATTTTTTTTTAAATATAAAGCTTATCTATTTATTTAAACAATAAAAAACTAAGAGGGTCTATCTCTATCTCTCCACACACACACACACACAAAAAAAAAAAAAAAAAAAAAACTAAACCCAGGAAACAAAACACACGAGACCCAACCTGATTATCTATGAATACACATAATCGAAGCTTTGAGACCTGGGATTTGGGGGGTTGATTTTCGAAACCAGAGTCAATAAGACATTTAGAACACAATACATCGACACTCGCTCTCTCGTGAATGAAGTTTATCCCGAATCAATCTCAAATGATATTCTTAGAAGCTGTGGAAGTGCAGAAAAAACCGAAAACATGATTCATAACCAACCCATAAGACAATTCAGATTCAACATTCTTCTCATTAATCATTATCTTCAAAAATCGACAAATCCTAGCTGTTCTTGAATCCACAACTAACCCTACCTATGTTTTTTAGTGCTTTTTTGTTAGCAAATATCAGATTCATGGCCGCATTCATGTCTTCCTCAGTGGTTTTTATTTTTAGGTTTTCTTTGGTTGCAGGACGAGTGAATAAAAAAAGTAATTGGTATACAAACTTTAATTTATAGGTGATGATCTTGTAATTATTCCTATGGACCAAACGACCTAGGGGTGTTGATCAGGTAAAATTTTTGGGTTTCAGGTAATTCGGGTTTTTCATAAAAAAAAATTACCCGTTACCTAACCCAAATTAAATTCGGGTAAATCGGGTTTGGGTAATGGGTCGGGTAAGGGAATTCGGGTGTTACCTGATTTTTTTTTAATTTTTTTAATTTTTTAATGGCACCTAAAAATAAATTTAATGAAATAATTATGTTGTGCTCAAACTTTGTACATTGAGATTTTTTACGCAATAATATTTGAGATATCAAGTATTCATTTAACAATTTAATCAAATCAAATAAGATGTTAAAAAAACAAATACTTAAAAAATAATAACAACCAAAGTCAACCATTTAAATTACTTGATATCAATGTATATGCATGTATTTTGCATTTACCAAAAAAAAAACTCAAGTCGTAAATCTAGAAAACATAGAAACCATTACATAGTATCAAAATAATAACACGCCAAGTTCCAAAAGACATTCATAAATATACTCGTCTTCTTGCACCTACTTGTTCTTCTTGCACCTTTACAACTTCATCTTGCTCAATTCTATATAAAAAAAAAGTCAAATAATGTTACTATTAAAAGGAAAATATCTAAAATTTACAACAATTAAAATAATAAACGATAAATAATTACCTTTTTTAATTTGTTGATTTTTTTCCCAATCTTTTTCATAATCGATTGTGTCACTTATGTTACCCCAAATCCATTCTTGTGTACAAATTGAACTTTCAACAATCTTAGGAGTCAAAGAACTCCTAAACGGATCCAACACCCTCCCACTAGTGCTAAAAACGGATTCTGAAGCCACGGTTGAGACATGAGTGGCAAACACATCTCTTGCCATCAATGATAAAATCGGGAATCTTGGACTATTCACTTTCCATCAATGATAGAATCAGAAATACTAAACATTTCTGAGTCGTCTTCAACACTTTCTTGCAAATACATTTCTAACTCCCCAATTGATTCAACTATGTTCGTCTTCATCTTTTCTCTTAGTTTATTTCTCAATGGGGGTTAGGTGTTGTAAAATCCGGGTTTTGGCATTTCCCTAATATCGATGATGAAGTGGTAGACTCGGTAGTACTTGAAGTAGAACATGGAGAATGAATTCTAATATAATCATTATATAATTCATACATAGAATCCATGATATATTTCTTTTTAGCCTCCATCACTTTTTCTCCATAACGATCCTCTAGTAGTATAACCAAATACTTTACTTTGTTCCTCGGATCAAGAATCAAAGCAAAGTAAAGCAATAAATTCATTTTTTCTATGTCGCCAAAATACTTGTCAAACTTTATTTTCATGGCCAATGCAATATCACAAATACTAGAATCGGAAATAGCATCATCCAAGAGCGTACGAATAGAATATATGCCTTCAATGCACGTGTTTGATGTCACATAAAGTGTCCCGGAAATCCTCAAAGTAACATCATAAAAAGGTTTTAAAAAATGGCATACATTCCTAACCCTTTCCCAATCGCTTGATGAAGGTATCGACAAACCCGCCTTTCCAATTTCATACCGAAAATCAAATTCCTCAAGATCATATCTTTCAAAAGTTTTTTCCTAAGCTTTGGCAATTTCAAACATATGGTAAGTAGAGTTCCATCTTGTTGGCACATCTCTTCTCAAGTGTTTTGTTATACCGGGATTAGCAACCTTAGCAAACTCGATAAACTTATGAATTCTAGAAGGCGATTGCCTAATTCATTTAACCGCCCATCGAACTATCTCAACCGTCTTATCAACTTTTTTATGCCATCTTGCACCACTAAATTTAAAATGTGGGCAACACATCGAATTTGCATCCATTTCCCATTTAGAAGACACTTGTTGGATTTTTGAAAACTTTTTTTTTCAAGAAGTCAATTGCCACATCATTCGCACTTGTATTGTCAACAAAAATTGTGAAAACATTTTCTATTTCCCACTCCATTAAACACTTTTCAACCATTTTTCCAATATAAACCCCATGGGGACTCTCTTGAGAAGAAAAACACAACACCTTTTTTTCAATTTCCATTCGTTATCAATAAAGTGAGTGGTGAGACACATATAACATGATTGTTGTTTAGAAGTCCACGTATCGGTAGTCAAACATATTTTACCAACATTTTTTTTAATAAAGTCACGGATTTTTTCTTTTTCTCTACAAATAATTGGTGGACATCCGTTGTGCTTGTACTTCTACATGGCACTTTAAACAATGGTTAAGTAGCACTATTGTAATATCTAAAGCCTGCACCTTCTACAAAGCTAAATGGAAGTTCGTCAACTACTAACATGTCGGCTAGAGCCTTCCGACTGTCATTTTGATCAAATTTCCAAGTTGACAATTTGTTTTCATCACCATATTGGAAAGCTAGTTGTGTTTCCCACCACTACGTTTAGCCTGGTAAACTTTACATTTAGTTAAATGATAACCTAGATTTTTGGTCCCATAAGCGCCTGATTCGCACTTGTATTTCCCGCCACCACAATGCTTACATTTGTATCTTTGAACACCATCTTCATCCTTATATCTTTCAAATTCGTTCCAAACTTTCGATCGTGGGTTGAATTCTTTAGTTTTTCTCACATTTTCTAGTAGAACTTGATTATTTGTTGGGTTTTCAACTTCAATCGTCTCATCTTCCACTTCAATATAATCATATGTTTTTGACATCTAAAATAGAAAAAGAACTGTTAAGAAACATAAAAATCAAGAAAAAAAAAAGAGAACATGAAAAAAAAATATGATAAACAGGAAAATATCACAGAACAGGAGTGATCAAACCAGGGCCTTCATAAAAAAGAAGTGACAAAACTTTTTGAGTATTATGTGTCATGTTAATGTGTGGTTTTTCAAAATGCCATATGATTTAGATGCAAAGATTTGGCCATAAGAAAAGAAAAACATGTTGGCTTTATGTTCCCCAAACTTGAGAAAAATGGGAGAGAAACAAGCAACAAATGTAAAATATCATGTGCCCCACGAAATATGCAGCCTTGTACACATGTAAAATATCACAAACGAAAAAAGAATTGAAACATATTAACTATCACATGACTGAATTGATTAAGTTAAAACCTTTTAATTTGGTCTTTGATATACTATCAGCTTCAAGAATTTGGTCAACCGCAAGAAGGAAAAAGAATATGAACAAATCAGCTTCAAGAATTTGGTCTTAAAATATATTATCAGCTTCATAAACGAAAAAAGAATATGAACAAATCACACTATCACAGGAAGAGATTAAAGAAGGAAAATGTTATTTCTATGTTTCTGTAAGGGAGGTCAACTGCAGCCCTCCCTATCTTGCTCTAGCGAGGGGTAAAGCTTCAACTTTTGGAGTCTTCATATCAAAAATCACAAGAAGATATTGAAGAAGGAAAAGGTTATTTCTATGTTTCTGTGATTATTTCTATGTCAAAATCCAAAAAGGGTGTCAATAAAACTACATAGTGAAGAAGAAACAAGAATAGGGAGATAATTGATGACCGTCAATAGAACAAGAACTAACCTGCGACGATGAGATGATGACAGGACGACGAGCTGAATGCTGATGACCGGAGACGTTACCTGCTGACCGGCGACGATGATTGATGACCGGAGACGACGATTGGCGACCAATGATGAGCAACAAGGGTTTTTTTATGTAAACAATCAAATACGTAGAGAAAATCAGAAAATAGAACAAGGGGAATTGGGAGGAGAATTAGGATGGACACTCATAGACATACCAATTACCATAAATGGATAAATGGCCCATTAGTTGTTAAAGATAAATCGGGTAATTGGGTAGACCCGAAACCTAAGAAATATACCCTTTACCTGACCTAAAAAAAATCGGGTTACCCAAATACCAGAAAACATTTACCCGATACCCGAAAAAATCAGGCGGGTAAATCGGGTAAAGGGTATTTTCGACAGGGCTAAAACAACACGATAATGGATGTCCAGAGTGAGAAAGATGAATAGAAGAATGTGAGTGATCTTAAAATTACCTAAAATGTGTATGAAAGTCTTATTGATAAGAAATGATTCATGTATTAAGTAAAGGACCCGACGTTTTACAACAACAATTTCGTGGACTAAAACAAACAAGCAATTGCAGTATTTTTTTTTACGATGATAAAAAAGTCAATACATATCGACAGAAGTCAAACGGGCAACAAGTTGCACCGTTATCCCTTTCTGGATGGAAAAACTAATTCTTTTGAAAACAACATATATGAACTTAGGAGATATAACATTAGAATGTATGACCAGTTGGACTCTGTTGAGGAGCTCCAGCACCTCTGGTGCGAGAAAACCAAAGGTATCAAATGCAAAAGGTATAAACACATGTCGATTTTTATGCGTGTATTCTCATGTTTTTCCACTTTGCACACAACGATTTTCAAAGCGGCATACCCTGCTGTGTGACCCCCGCTCCTCAAAACGATGAGATGGGAGACCCCGGTAAGATCCACACAAGCAGTAACGCTTAGTCCATGTATTATTTATTTCTCAATATTTTAGGATTTTGGACTTAAAATCGATGAGTTGGGGAGATGCAACTCGTCGTGTAGAGATTTATTTGGACGCAAGTTAAGGACTCTACTCAAAGAGTTGAGGAGTCCCAATTCGACGAGTAGATGCTGGAAAGGAAAACTCTAATTTTTAGGGTTTGTACCCTATTTAACGGCCTTAAACCTCTTTGTTAGCCTCCCTCACCACCTCCTTTGTCCAGAGAAACCGTAGTTCGTGTTTTTCCTTTCATTGTGAGTATGTGAGAGCTCAAAGAGTTCATTCTTAGTGTTTGTTTGAAGAGGATTGAAGGAGGAGGTGCATAGCTGAAGGAAGAGGTTGTAGGTCCAGTGTCTTCACTATTGAGGCAGTCATATTGAGGTATAAAGCTGATACCTTGATCATTCATTTGCTAGATCTTTCCATTAGCGGGTTTTGTGTCATTTTAGCTTATTATTGGGTCATTCTTGGACTTAAGCATGACTTGAAGCTATGACTTCAGATTTGGACACCTCATGGCCTCTTTTAACATAAAGTTGCCATTTTTATTAAGTCGTGGCACTCCCTGACGCCCTAAATCCCTTAATAAGCCATGTTGGAGTGTTTTATCCCCTTAATGCCATGCATGGATGTAAAGTTAGAAACTTTACGTGATTAAACCAACCTAGGACCTCACATATGCAATATGAAACGTTGAAGCAAAGAGTTAGAGGCTTAATAGGTCAAGACGTTCTTCAAAGAAGCTAGGATTTGAGTCTAAAGCTTATTAGATGATCTATAGGGGTAGAATTGGAAACTTTACCCTCCTAGACGTATCTATGGTTAGGGATATGAAGTTTGGAACCTTTAGATTTGATAAAAAGGGACTTAATGCATTAAGTGGATTGGCAGACTAAAGAAATTGATGAGTTTACAAGGGAACTCGGCGAGTTAACTAGGATTTTTCCCGATTATCTGATAACAGAAGCAACTTGACGAGTCAGCAAATGAATTCGACGACTTGGGTCAACATGGACTGTTGACATTGACTTTGGACATGGTTGACCTAGTTGAGTTTAAGGGTATCTTTGGTATTTCAAGATTTTGATGAAGTTAGTCACATGGTGATTGTAGGCAGTTGAGTTCGGAGCTGTGAGTCAGGATTTGATCGTATCAGTTTAGCATTCTTGAGAGGTGAGTCTCTTCACCATACCAATGGGTCGAAGGAACCAAGGCTAACCCATTTTGTGATATGCGGTACACTAGTTGACATATAGATATGTGGGATACTAGTTAGTTATATACTATGTGATATGTTAGTTGTTTATGTGGTATTTACATGAAAGACCATGGGGGAGCCAATGACACTTGGATGTCAGATCATGTGGGGGGTCCCATGGCTTTCCAAATAAAGACCATGGGAGGAGCCCATGGAACTTGGATGTCAAACCATGCGGGGGATCCCATGGCTTTCCAGGTAAAGACCATGGGGGGAGCCCACAACATCTCCGAGTAAGACCTTGGGAGGATCCCATGACATCCTTATATGTTTATATGCATAGCTTATGTGATTGATATGGATTATATGATTAAGTGGATTATGTGGGGTATGATCTGGGGAACTCACTAAGCATTGGCTTACAGTTTGTTGATTGATTAAGGTACTTTCGGATCTAAGGGCAAGGGTCCGACGTGATGGCACAACATGCACTCTCTGGCGTTTTGTTCGGGGACACTCTGATTTTATGAATAATAATTCAGATGTTACAGATTTTGAAAATAATTATGATTCGAATTTTATAATCTATGGATATGAATTTCTTAATTGTAAATGAATTTTATTGGAAATTTGGGCTGTTACAAGTTGGTATTAGAGCCTAGGTTTGAGGGATTCTGGCACACCCACATGTATGTCAGAACTCAAACTGAGGAAATGGTAAAAGTGTTTTCAAAAATCAAGTTAAAAACTTTTAACCCAATTTCTCAAAGGAAAAAGGGAGAGTGCAATGCGCATAATCGTTCAAGCTCAAGTAAGTATTTTTCCCCAATATGTTTGCCATGCCATGTTGATATTTGGAATGAGATAATCGTATGAATCTTGCTATGTGTATGCTTCCAAAATTGTATACGGTTAGGGTCTTATAGCCTTAGAATGATTGATTTGGCCTTGTATCCTATTCCTTGTCTGGTTGTGGTCCTAGGGTAGAGTCTGTTATTAGAAAGTCTATATGATCCTGTTATGTGTATAACTTGCATGCATAAGGCAACCTGTTATGATTGATTTGAGTTCTGGTTTGATGGGATAGAGCAAATCTTAGGATAGCCTAAGGTTTAAGCTGTGCAATAACTTGTGAGATATGTTTTGTTCTGGGGAGAATTAGGGTTATCAAGTAGAGATTTAGGGAAGGTACAGGTAGGTACGGAAGGTAGTATTAGGCTCGTACTACTGAAAGCACAGGACTTGTACTCGAACTAATGTTAGATCTAGAAGCTCTAAGGAGAACCGGTATGGAAGGATTCCCTTTTTGAATATCCTGATCATTATGTCTTATGCTATTTCAGTTCAGTATGGTGATGACACGTCAAGGAGTATTGGGATCGAAATTAGGATCTGGCTCGGGCTACGTTACTAATCCCATTGATGAGAGGCTGTGCGAGCTTATCACAACCGAGATTACGAGGGGTATTATTGACGCTACCCCAGTGATATTCGGGACTTTCAAGGAGGGGATGATGGAGATCATGGAGGTGCGACTTAGATCTTTCCGAGATGAGATTATCATGGGCTAGGTCGGGGCCCGAACTCCCTTGTTCCAGGAGTTCAAGGCGTACGGAGCTCCTGATTTCTTTAGGGTCTGGGAGCCTATTATTAGTCGTTGTTGGGTTGCCGACATGGAGAACACCTAATACGCGAGCTCTTGCCCTAGGTGGAAAAGGTGGGATCTGCGCCGTGTATGTTGAGGGACCGAGCCAAGGATTGGTGGGAGGATGTGACCCATTAGGTGGGAGCGTACTATTGGTCCTGTAGTATGTTGCAGATAAGGATATGAGGAGGACAAGGTATCATTCCATGCTGAGGGATGATATCTGTGAGTTTATGAGCTTTTCATCGTGTAAAACCCTGAATGAGATAGTGGAGAAGGCCCTGGAGTGGGAGATGGAGTTGGAGTTTCGCACCAAGAGGAAGCCAGAGCAGACTCCGACAACGGGAGGTCAGGCTAAAAAGCATAAGACCTATGATTCTTCCAGTAGAGGCCAGCAGGGTCGTGGTCGGTGTGCCAAGGGCGGTAATCCACACAATGGAGCTTGTTAAATGGTAGGCTTGGGATGTTACGCGTGTGGCCAACCAGGGCACTTGAGCAAGGATTGCTCTAAGAAGGGCTTGATTTGTTTCCACTGCAATCAGATCGACCATAAAATTGCCGATTGTCCAAGGTTGCAGGGAGGAGGAGGAGCAGTGGCAGCACCTGCGCCCGCCATAATGAGGATCGCTGATGGCCGCGCTGGCAAGGTGGATGCTCATGCGGCGAAGAGCCACACATTTCAGCTGACCATGGAGGAGGCTTGAGCTGCACTAGACATCGTAGCTGGTATGCAATCTATTATTCATGTGTGATATTATTTGTTATGCTTATATGTATATGTTTGTGCACTTGTATAGGGACCTTTTTGGTCAATGGCATGTCTGCTCACATTCTTTTCGATTCGGGAGCTACCTGATCGTTCATATCCCCTGCGCTTAGCAAGAAGTTCAAGGATGCTCCGGGGACTTTGGATTCCCCAATAGAGGTTGAGATTGCGGATGATCGCATCATGAGTGCTGCAAGGGTATATCGGGACTTTGTCCTGAATGTGCTTGGGGATAGGTTCCGTGTTGATTTGGTTTTGATACCGTTACCAGGGTTGAAGGGGATTGTTGGGATGGACTGGTTGGGGGCTAATGGGGCCATGATAGAGTGCGGGCACCAGATGTTGAGAGTTTGAACCCCAAGTGGGGGAGAGCTGGTTATTCATGGGGAGAGGGCCTCGTAGGGGTGTTAGGTGTGTCAAACCCAACAAATAAAGGGGTACGATATACTCCAAAATAATCCCACTATATTGCACTAAAAAGGTAGTACAAGGTAAGCAGGGTCGATCCACAGAGACACAGGACAATTAGTCTATACCTCTTTGCACAAGGTACTATAGTCACCAATAGTAAAAAGAGAGGGGGTTTTAGAATGTAATGATTAAACAAATAATTAAAAACATAAGCAGTCGAT